TAGATGCTTTATGATGTTTAGTAACAAGATTGGGTGGGGCCATGAAAACTCTCCAGACCACACAGAAGGAGTCGTCTTTATGGGAAGCATTTCAGGGCTGTCCTGAGTCCTCCTTCCCTCTCTTTCTTTCTAACACTCCCTCCTTCTTAAAGACCAAGGTGCTGACAGTTCTTAAGGTGACAAGAGTAGTCATTCATCAGTTCCCAATAAAAAGCTTGAAAAAATAAATGCTTTTTCATGCATCAGCCCTGTGGGAGATCAAAAATTGGCCACCCTGAAATATATCTCCTTACCATGATTATTTTCTCTGATGGACATTTGTCCCCCCCCCCCCCCCCACTAACTGCCTAAAGGAATTTAACTCTGGGTATGGACAGACTGCCAGGGTCCTCGCTAAGCCCATTCTTAACAAAGTTCTATTTACCAAATATGTACATTTGTAAATGTATCTCCCTCTGTGTACTGGGAAGTGGGGGATGGCCTTATCTGTAGAAACTCTTATCAGGATAGAAGGAGAGGACTTAAATCAACCTACTCTTGTTTACTGTGATTTCTGTCTCTCCGGCCACATTCTCTATAGGTGGCCCTATAAAGAATTGTCTGACAGGGGCTGGCCCCGTGGCTTAGCAGTTAAGTGCATACGCCCCGCTACTGGCGGCCCAGGTTCGGATCCTGGGCGCGCACCGACACACCACTTGTCCAGCCATGCTGAGGCAGCGTCTCACATACAGCAACTAGAAGGATGTGCAACTATGACATACAACTATCTACTGGGGCCTTAAGGAGAAAAAGGGAAAAAAAGGAGGAGGCTTGGCAATAGATGTTAGCTCAGGGCTGGTCTTCCTCAGCAAAAAGAGGAGGATTGGCATGGATGTTAGCTCAGGGCTGATCTTCCTCAAAAGAAAAAAACAACAACAACAAAAAAAAGAATTGTCTGACAAACATTTACATTTCCCTCTTCATGTGAATTGTCTTCTTCCCCTCTGAAATCCCAAACCCCCCAACCCCAACATCCTCCTTTGTCTTTAGCTGAAGATAGTATTTAAGATGAGAATCTCTGCCATTTTGTTGAGAAACTCAGTTTCCCTGGTTTCTCCCATGTATACATGCTATTAAACTTGGTCTTATTTTCTCCTGCTAACCTGCCTTTTTTTTTTTTTTTTTAAATTTTAGAGAGTTTACTTTATTTTATTTTTTGTGTGTGTGTGTGAGGGAGACCAGCCCTGAGCTAACATCTGATGCCAACCCTCCTCTTTTTTGCTGAGGAAGACTGGCCCTGGGCTAACATCCATGCCCATCTTCCTCTACTTTTTTATATGGGACGCTGCCACAGCATGGCCTGCCAAGTGGTGTGTTGGTGAGCACCCAGGATCCAAACCGGTGAACCCCGGGCCGCCACAGCACAGTGCGTGCACTTAACCGCTTGCGCCACCTGGCCGGCCCCTAACCTGCCTTTTAATTATTTGGCCAGCCATAAGAACCTTAAGGGAAAGGGCGGAGGGGGATTCTCCCTCTCCCCCGACAGCCCCTTCAAAGTAAGATGTTAAAACAGATGTTTGAAAATGTTTCCATGGACGCGTGATTTTATGGCCAACACTGTCTGACCCATAAAACGCTTCATACCTACACATTTATTTATTTATTTATTTAGTGAGGAAGATCAGCTCTGAGCTAACATCCACGCTAATCCTCCTCTTTTTGCTGAGGAAGACCGGCTCTGAGCTAACATCTATTGCCAATCCTCCTCCTTTTTTTTTTTTCCCCAAAGTCCCAGTGGATAGTTGTATGTCATAGTTGCACATCCTTCTAGTTGCTGTATGCGGGATGCGGCCTCAGCATGGCTGGAGAAGTGGTGCGTCGGTGCGTGCCCGGGATCCGAACCCGGGCCACCAGTAGCGGAGAGTGTGCACTTAACTGCTAAGCCACGGGGCCAGCCCATTCATACCTACACATTTCAAAAAGCTGGGGGGGCCGGCCCAGTGGCACAGTGGTTAAGTGCACACACTCTGCTTCAGCGGCCTGGGGTTCACAGGTTCAGATCCCGGGCATGCACCGATGCACCACTTGTCAAGCCATGCTGTGGCAGCACCCCATATACAGTAGAGGAAGATGGGCATGGATGTTAGCCCAAGACCAATCTTCCTTAGCAAAGAGAGGAGGATTGGTGACAGATGTTAGCTCAGGGCTGATCTTCCTCACACACAAAAAACTTGGAAGCAAAACTGTCTGTTTTTTAAAATTTAGATATAATTTACATACATTTAAATTAAAATTTACCCTTTCAAAGTGTACAATTCAGTGTCTTAGAACATTCAAAGTTGTGTAACCATCACCACTAATTCCAGAATAATCTGTTTTTAAAACCTGTAGAGTTTAAAATGTAGCATTTCCTTGGGGTTTGAACCCATTTATGAAACGTAAACAAGCGGCACCTTCCCATTGGTTTGTAAGAGCAACTAAGTGACAACAGAGAAGACAGAAATGTGGTAGCTGGATTTTAACAAAAGCCTTTGCATAATTGGTAGATGGAGTTGTCGATGCAAATAATCCATAACCAATCTATAAATCAAAATTGGGGTGAGTTTATTGTGAGCTAACTTTTGAGGACCATATAGCCCGAGGCCTTCCTTCCCCAAGGAAGGAAGGGCACAAAAGAAGTGGGGGGTACAGAGTGGTTATATACCGTCAAAGAGCATGTATCACATATGATTGCAATGTCACAATGATGATAGTCACAAGATCGCCCTGTCAGATTGCCCTGTCAGCACAGCTATTGATCGACACAGAGGGGAGCAGGTCTGCTGTATCAATGGGCCTGGCTGGTGCCAGGTCTGTTGTCTCGAGTTGGGTGGTCACAGGATGAGCACAGCAATCAAATCCTAGCCTAGGGAGAAACAGTTATCCTTATCTTAGGGGCATTTGTTCTTCTATTTGGGACATGTTAATTGCTTAAAGCAGATCTACAATGAATGTTTGGAGGCCACAGGCCCTTTTTGGAAAAACAAACTCAGGCTGAATTAGTTTTACACCAAATGGCTTCCTCATATGCTCCAATATATCCTATTGCTTGCCATTTATTTATCAGAGTTAATGAGGGTGATGGTTTTTCAAGCCCAACTAATGATGCCCTTCTTCCATTAGCTCTCATAGTTTTGTGAAGCCACTAAAATCTAGAAGGTAAATAAAAGCCCTGAGAGCTAGGCCTTCAAATTGATGTTTTACAGTGTTAAATCAAGATTTTAGTAAATAAGAAACCATACTCAATCATATTAATATTTCTAGTGAAAGCAAAGTACTTTTTTGCACCTTTGTAATTTGAAAAATATGGCTGATTTCACCCTCCTAGAATTGTTTTAAATGTTCCCTTTGTGGTGGGTGAGATCCTCAATAAGTGTAGCTATGTTGGAGTGGGTGTTCCAGAATGTTTCTGGATGGAGGTCAGAAATGTGTGGCCTCTGCACCTCCCCCCTGGTTTCCCAGCTCTCACCTGTGGCCCCTCTCTCCATCACAACAGAATAGACTCTTCTCCCCACAGTAGCCAGAGTGATATTTTCCAAGAGTCAGGTCATGTCAGGCCCCTGCTCAAAGCCTTCTCATCACATTCTACACTCTGGAAAAGTCCAAGCTCCTCCCCCATCTACTCCCATCCCTCCTTATCCCTCAGGTTTACCTCCTGTACCCTCTCCACCTCTGATCCAGCTACTGGACTGGAACAGCACTTACTGATCGCTGCCTCAGGGCCCTTGCGTGGCTGTTCCTTCTGCATTGTCAAACCCTCAGGGAGCGGGCAAGGGCTGCTCTGGGGTTGCCTGCCTGTCCACACAGCTTCTCCAGATGCTCCTTGGATCTCCAGCCTGGAATGGGCATGGGGGGGAAGGGGGGCGGTGATCACCTCAGTAGCTGAGTGACTGGGCACAAGTCTCCTCTCCTTTCTATGCCACGCTGCCCTCTTTTTAGTGGTACTGCTGGGCCTCTAGGAGGGGCGGCCGAGGGCTTGTGTCAAAGCCCTGTTGGGGCCCAGGGCTGGCTGCCCCCAAATATGCCTCAGTGGCATATGGATCATTTGGAATGAAAGTCTTGAAAAGCAGCTGGTGCAAGGACCGTCTGACCCTCCTTTTCCCTTGAATGCAGGGAATGAATCTCCTCCCTGCCCCTGGAGCCTGAGGGAGACAGACACCCTTATCACCAGCCTCAGGGAATTCAGGGCTGGGAAGTCTGTGTAAACTCACCTTGTTCCTTTTTTTTGCTAATTGCTTACTCCAAAGGCAACTCTGCTTAAATTCCTTACTAATTGAGAGCCCAAAACCAAATTTCTTTGTCAAACCCTCACATTTATTCTTTCGTGTAAAAAGATATAAAATTTGCCTACTTTTTGGTCACTCTCCTGTGCAGACAAATTGTTTTTCCTCCTGTTCATCTGTTTTGCGTTAATTTCATCATAATTTCAGCTGCAAGAACTGAAGAAGGTTAAGGGGAAAATTCCCCCTCCTGGACATCCACCCTGGCCCTCCTGGTCCCAGCAGCCTCCTGGGCCAGCAATGTGCCCACAGGGCCGGCTGCAGAGGAACAGGGAGCTGTGCCCCCACGGTGCCCTCAGGTCCAAGTGCTGTGAAGACGGAAGCCAAGGAAAGCACAGCAGGGGTTCTGGGTGGGTGGTGGCCCCATGGGAGCCGTTTGGGATGGTGCCTGCCAGGTCCTGGGGCAGTGCAGTCTGTGGGGCGAAGACTGCAGGATGGGCACAGCACAAAATCTGGGGCCACTGAGGTTGCGAGCAGGGAGTTGAGAGCACCTGGGAGGACCATGTGTTTTGAAGAAAAGCCACCTCCTCAGCCTCCAGGGCGCCCTACAGTCAGATTCCAAGGAGGGGCCCTGGGGCTCAGGCTCATTTAATGCCAGGATGTCTTCGCATAGGGTCCCAAGGGTGGCGGCTGGTATGGGACCTGGGCTGGGGGAGCAAGAATCCCAGCGATGGGGCCCCGGGCACTGAGGAGGGTGCGCGGTCAGTGAGTGGCAGACACCAGCAGCAGAAGCAGCGCCCCGGCCAGCCCTGGCAAAGACAGAGGGCCAGAGGCCGGCCCGGGGTGCGCGGCGGCCGTGGGGTTAGCGTGAGGGGCGTCGGTGGCGTTGGAGTCTGGGTCATCAGTGGAGGTGGCAGGGGGCGACAGGTCACAGGCCGTGTAGGGCTCGAGGCAGGCGGCAAAGGCCATGACGTGCGCCACGAAGGTCTGCTCCTGCACGCCGTGCACCAGGTGCGCCTGCGGGCCGCGCGCGAACACCGCCACGTCCTCGCCGCCGTGGGTCTCCGACGACAGGGGCACAGCTGCCTGCTGCCTGTACGTGGCGCTCACTGGACGGAGAGTGGGGCTTAGGGCGGGCGGGGCCGGCGCCTCCCCCCTCCCGCGAGTTCCCCACAGTGGTCCACCCAGACCGCAGCCCCGCCGCACTCACTGCTCTCGCTCTCGTTGACATCCGGCCGGGAGCCCCCGCTGAGCGCGAAGCCTGGGCCATTGCCATAAAGGATGGAGGTGTAGGCCTTGCCGTCGGAGGCCTTGCTGGGGGCCAGCCCTGCGGGACAGGGGACCTGTGATGGCACTCACCACAGCTTATGCAGCGCCCCCTGTGTGCTAAGCCCGGTACTTCTTGCCTGTTCACTGGCTTAAGCCTCTCAAGAACCCTACAAGGTGGTTGCTGTGATTACCCCATTTGACAGATGAGGAAACTGAGGCTCAGAACCATTTCTGCCATATAATTTAGGAAACAGCAACTGTCACTCTCCCTGGACCCACCTAAAATGGGGCTCCCACGCAGGGTGTAGCCACCAAAGGAGAAGACGTGCGAGTGGTCAGCGGTGACAAGGGTCAGTGTGTCCGTCTCGCTCGTGAGCTGGCTGGCTTTCTCAATGGCGTCATCGAACATGACGGCCTCAGTCAGCGCCAGGTAAGCTCTGCCCTCATGGTGACCGTGGTCGATGCGGCCCCCTGCAGGAAGGCCACGTGGGAGGTGGGTGATGCCCCACCTGCCCTGACCCCCTCCTCCCTGCTCAGCGAGGGGCTGCCACTCACTCACCCTCCACGAAGAGGTAGAAGCCACTGGGGTTCCTGTTCAGCACGCTCAGGGCCGCCTCCGTCATCTCCGTCAGGGACGGGTCCAGGCCGAGGTCTCGTTGGGCCTCATATTTCATGTCTGCTGGCTCGAAGAGGCCTGTGGGAAAGGGGCTTCCGGTGACGGGTAGCTGGACAGTGGGGAGGCTCAGTGGCAGCCACGTCTCTGCACGTGCTGGGCCATCTGAGGCCCCGGGTGGCCAGGGCAGGGTGGTGGGGTGGGTGGGGTCGTTACCCATGAGGTGTGTTACAGAGGGGTCCTGGGACGCCTGAAGGAGCGCCGTGCGGTTCCACAGGTACTGGGCACCCTGGGAGGGGCAGAAGCAGACCTCAGCCCATGGCCCTACGACCTGCAGCCCCTGCCCTTGTCCCCGCTGTACGCCCACACCCACGAGCCCCGTCACCTGGTGCTTGTCCAGCCACTCCTGCACCAGGTTCTTCTCGTCCACCCTGGTTCCGTTCTGGCTGCCATCATCCGGGTACTCAGGGTCTGGGGTCCCCTTGGGAAACATGTACATGCGGCCTCCACCCAGAATCACCTGGGGCCAGAGGATTAGGGCAGGTGGGCTAGGGGCCTGGCTGCCCCTTGGCCCCCTCCTCAGACAGCCCCCAGTGCCCCCACCAGGTCTGTGGGAATGGTCTGTCCTTGGCTATACCCTCTACACCCCCCACAAGTCCGTGGAGTCCCCGCCAGGCCCAGGGCTCAGGCTGTGGGTTGCCAGGGACTGTGTCCAGTGCGGGCCCACCCCCTCTGCCCAGCCCCTCCCCCTTGCCCTTCGTGTCGCACATCAATGTCCATGTTGGAGATGAGCTGCGTGGCGATGTCCTGGCAGCCCTCCTCCAGCGCCTCGGCAGGCATGTCGGCATCCGAGTACCAGTTGCGGTTCACCGTGTGCGCGTACGTGCCGGCGGGCGAGGCGTGCTGCACCCTGGTGGTGGTCACCACCCCCACTGACTTCCCTGCGGGTGGCAGAGGTCAGGGTGGGCCCCTGAGGTCTCTGAGCTGGCCCCTGCCCCATAAGCTGGCCCCAAGCCCACCTGCTTTCTTGGCCCGGTTCATCACGGAGGTGACCTCATTGCCACGGGTCGTGTTGCACTGGTTGTAGCGGGCGGCTGCACTCACACCGATGGTCTGATAGTTGGTCTTGACCCCACACAGGTAGGCTGTGGCCGTGCCTGCGCTGTCGGGCACCTGCCTGTCCACGTTGTATGTCTGGGGACAGAGACGTCCTCAGCTGCAGTCTGGGGTAGACACCTACATCGCAACTCTGGCCCCAACCCTCCTGGGGCCTTCCCTCCTGCCAGGCTCCCTAGCCTACCCCACCCTTCTGGTGTGGAGCACCCTGAGGCCGCCCAGCCCTTACCTTCGACAGAGCCAGGTAGGGGAAGTTGTCCATGGCCAGGGGCGTCTCAGGTCCCAGCTTGCCATCCATCTGAGCCTTTAGAATCCGAGTGGCTGTCACCGTGGGCACTCCCATCCCTGAAGGAGCACCTCATGTCAGGCCTGAGTCCCCAAGGCTGACCTGTGTCCACCAGCAGCCTTGGGTACTGGGGTTGTGGGGGTTCCAGGGGGCCGGAGGGACAGACCTTGCACACTCACCGTCTCCCAAGAAGATAATGAGGTTCTTGGCAGCCGTTTGGATGGGCAGCACCTTCTTAGCAGTGTCCAGGGCCTGGGCTGCCTGGCGGTTCCAGAAGTCTGGGTCCTCCTCCTCAACTGACCAAAGAGAGAGCGGAGGCTGGGTCAGCCTTGGGGGAGCACCTGTGTTTACAGGGAGGCTGACAGGTCCTTAATTACCTGGGATGACACCAAGGGAGAGCTGTAGCCTCAGGCCCAGCAGCAGCAACAGTACCCAGGCTCCCTGCATGCCTTTGGGATGGCAGGAAGATGGTGAGGCTGGGATTCCAGAGACCCTGGGACACCAGGGTACCAACTGCGCTACAAGTTACCTGGGCTTAAATCAGGGGAGGACTTTGTCCCTAGCTGTAAAAGGCTCCATGTCCCTCCCAGTGCCCCACACAGCACCCTGACCCCACCCCGCCTTGTGACTTGAAGCTATGCTGGCAGAAGGGAAGTGGCAGGGTGTGGCTGAGCGAGCTTAGGGGCAGGGGTACTGAAAAAGTCAGGTCCATCCCTCACAGGATAGTCCCCAGCTGTCTCCCCAGGGGAGGGTGGGGATTAGGGGGGCACATGCCCTTGGGTGAGGAGCGTTTGGAGTGTCCTGATGGAGGCCACTCCCAATCCTCTGCTCTTGCAGTTGTAGGAGAACCCTCATTCCTCGCCTGATTTGTTCAGTATTTCCTGAGAGCCAGTAGTGGCCAGGCTCGGTTCTGGGTGCTGAGGGAGGTGGGGTGCGAAGCACATGGCCTGGGCCCGGGGCCTGGGTCTGGACTCTTGATGCAGCCCCGACACCCACGTGACTTCTCACTAGGCTTGGCCTGGGCAGGTGGGCCGGGCGCTGGGCTGGAGTGGGTGCCCAGGAGCCTGGCCCAGGGTTCTTGTGCTGTGGAAATGGGTGGTGCTAGTGGTGACAACAGAGTGGGGGCCTTGTCTGTGTCTCCAATTACAGAGGGCTGGGCTGGGCCAGCCTTGCGTGTGCGTGTGTGTGTGTGTGTGTGTGTGTGTGTGCGTGTGTGTGTGTAGGGGGATATGCCCGCCTGCAGAGGCTGGCAGGGGTGGGGCCCAGTGCCTTGTACATGAGGTTGACCTCTGCTCCCTTGGACAGGCAGATGGAACCCAGGTGTGAGTCTGTTCTCTCCACAGGCCACATACACTCCCCAGCATGGCTCCTGATAAGGAGCTGAGAGGTTTCAGTAGCCTCAGGCTGGATTCAAAAGCATAAACTTTGTTTATCCATTCGTCTGGATTCGTTGGGTTCAACAGACGAATGGATAAACAAAGTGAGATATATCTGTACAATGGAATATTATTCAGCCTTAAAAAGGAAGGAAATTGTGACACATGCCACAACATGGATGAGCCTTGTGGATGTGATGCTAAGTGAAATAAGCCAGTCCCCCAAACACAACACTGATTCTATTTATACGAGGTATCTAAAGTGGTGAAATGCATAGAAAATAGAAAGTAGAATGGTGGTTGCCAGGTCCTAGGAGGAGGGCTATGGGGAGTTGTTCTACTCAGGTGGGTATAGAGTTTCGGTTTTACCTGGTGAAAAAGCTTTGGAGATTGTCGTACAATAAGGCGAATATGCTTAGCACTACTACAGTGAACTGTACACTTAAAAATCGTTAAGATGGTTAATTTTATCTTGCGCTTTTGACCACAATTTAAAATTCTTTTCAAAGAAAAGAAGCCTTGCTCCCTGCTCTGTCCACCCCAGTGGACCATGGTAGCCCCTTCTGTGCTCAGGCCTCCTCACCACCTGAGCCAAGGGCTTGGTCTCCCAAACCAGGGCTACGGCAGTGGCCACCAGCATCTCCCTGCCCAGCCTCACCCCCCACCATGCGATCTCCTTAGGCAGAGTATTCCTGGGTCCTCCTCCCTCTATGGAAAATATATTCCCTCCAGGAATCCTTCCTGGCATCTGTCAAATGCCCCCATAGCTCCCTTTACCCCTGCATTGTCTTGCTGTGCAAGGGAAATACTTGGCTAAAGGTCAGGGGAGACCAATTGCTGGGCAGTCCCTTAATTACTTGGTTCTTTTTACCTGGTTGTAGGTGAAAGTTTTGTTGCTCCAAGATCAGTCTTCAGTCCAATGAATTCTTAGTCCCCCCTTTATTTTATTTTATTTTATTTTATTATTTTTTGTGAGGAAGATCAGCCCTGAGCTAACATCCATGCTAATCCTCCTCTTTTTGCTGAGAAAGAACGGCTCTGAGCTAACATCTATTGCCAATCCTCCTCCTTTTTTTTCCCCAAAGCCCCAGTAGATAGTTGTATGTCATAGTTGCACATCCTTCTGGTTGCTGTATGTGGGACGCGGCCTCAGCATGGCCGGACAAGCGGTGCGTCGGTGCGTGCCTGGGATCCGAACCTGGGCCGCCAGTAGTGGAGCGTGCACATTTAACCACTAAGCCACGGGGCCAGCCCCCTAGTCCCCCTTTTTAATTGTGTCAAAATTGACTATAGTGGAGCCATTTAAAAATGGAGTCAGAGCTGCCTTTCCAGAGAAACTGCTTTGCTCTCTTGAACCTTGGACTGGGCCAAACCTTTGCACTGGGCCAAGATGGCAATTATTTACAAGCAATTGTTTGAGAAGTCAGCAGGAGAAGGACATCTTGATCACAAAGACTGAGCATTGTGAACTCTGAAGATAAAATGAATAGTCAATGTTTAGCCAAAACTAGCTCTTTGCCCCCAACTCCAGTTAAAATTCTTTGTAATACAAACTCCCTTCTTTGCCTTTAAAAGCCCGTGACTTTTACTCCCTAGCCGGACACTATTTGGGTCTCTGTATGAATCTGTGCTCCCTGAATTGCAATTCTTTGATCCCAAATAAACGCTTTGCCTCTTAAACTGGTTTTTGTTTTTGAAGGTTGACATATGATGTCAGTAAGCAGGAGCTGAAGTGATCTCACCTTTGAGGACCGATGTCCCCTGAAAATAGGTTTGGTACCAACACAAGCCCCCTTGTGTGCTCATCGCTTCCATGCCAGCGGACTTCTCCAATTGTGAGTCCTCTCAGGCTTGGACCTCCCTCCCTATTGGTTGAGGTCTTTGTGTTTCTTTGGGATTCTGGGGCAATAGCCCAATCTGGGGTAGATTGATCAGGAGACAGTTGTCTCCAAGGTGGCTCCCGGCTATTGCCATCTGGAAGTTTCCCTGTTTGAGCCGGATATGGCTGCTGTCATGTAAGGGTTTATTCCCTATCTGGTGAGTCCTTGAATTCTGTCTTTTGTGTCGTTGTCCAAACAGCTGTAGACAGAGGGTCAGAAGACCAGATAACAACCTGGGGCTTGTAACTGGTTGTCTCCTTGTCTCTCTGTCTCTTCGGCCAGAAAAGTTCCTGAGAAGTTCCTCCCTCGAGAACTCCAGCTGGGTTTATATTTAAGAACTATGGGGCCGGCCCCGTGGCTTGGTGGTTAAGTGAGCGCGCTCCGCTGCTGGCAACCCGAGTTCGGATCCCGGGCTCCCACCAGCACGCTGCTTCTCCGGCCATGCTGAGGCCGCGTCCCACATACAGCAACTAGAAGGATGTGCAGCTATGACACACAACTATCTACTGGGGCTTTG